CCGGGGCTCCGGTGATCCTTCCACCTCAGCCTTCCAAGCAGCTGGAATTACAGGCACGCGCTACCATGCCCGGCTAATTTTTGATTTATTGTAGAGATGAGGTCTCGCCAAGTTGCCCAGGCGGGTCGCAAACCCGCGGGCTCAGGCAATCCACTCACCTCAGCCTCCCAAGGCACAGGATTACAGGCTGAGCCTCGGAGCCCAGCATCTTTACAGTTTTTAAATGCTTTCTCACCTGTGTTATCTCATTTGCTCTCTAAGAAAAGTGAAGTTAATCAAAAAAGGAGATGAATTGGGGAAAACTTGAAAGCCTGACCAAAAGGAGTTTGGACTTGAACACAGAAGCAAAGCTGCCTTATCAGATTACAGAGCAGATATTTACAGTCCAAAGTCCTCCAAATGATTGGCCTCACCCACAGTGGTGGGGGGGAGGTTGGTGAAATAGGACCACTAAAAGGCCTGGGAGCAACACCTGTTCCTCTAAGCCTCCCTCCAACTGAACTTCCCTCCAATATTCCAGTTCTCTGAAGATAAATGGAAAGCAGCCATGAGCTTTCCACTCTTCGGGGTTCATCTTTCAGCACTTCGGAACTGAGAATGAGTAGGCTTAACCAACTACTCGCCTACCCTCTCTCTCATGTGCTGAGGTTTCATATGAATATTACTGGTGTAATCCATTTCTAAAATAATATCTTGATACATTTATGTAGACTCTGTTTGTAGCTGTTGTTGCTCCAAGGTATTTTCTCGAGTTCCTGTCTATTTCTCCTTCAGCTGTCTGAGCTTAGCGGGTCATGTTTTACATACCATATTCAGCTCTATTTCCAGGGAACAAGACTGGACTTTGTCCTGGTCCTGCTTTCTCCCTGTCTCCCTATTTCCACCCTTTGGTGAGCTGTCTGTCCTGCTCACTGCAGGAGAATTATGAGACCTTCAATGGAGTGGCTGACAGGACAGGGCTTTAAAAATCGGCCCTCTACAAAAAGTGCCCTAAGGGATTGTTAGAGGGAGCCAACAAAGCCCAGGAAATAACAGCATTATGTAGAGTGGCAGCTCATGTTCTTTGTCTTCTGAAAACTTTCTAGTGACTCTCAGTGGTGTTATGGTATATGTTGGTTTTCACCCATGATTCCTGGTTCGTAACTCCCACTGCCTTTGATACAGTCTTTTGTTTTAAAATTGGGTATGTTAGGCCTCAGGGACAGACCTCAGGAAACAGAACCTCTCTGACAATCTCTTGCCCTCCTTTCACCTGTCCCAAGGCAGGACCCTACTCTTCCCTTCCTTCCTGATTGTAGGTCTTGCCCCTGGGGGAGGGAATGCTGATGTCATGAAACTTCCATAAAAACCCAAGAGGACTAGGTTCAGAGAGCTTCTGGATAGCTGAACAGGTGAAGGTTCCTGGAGGGTGGCATCCCAGGGAGAGTATGGAAGTTCTGTGCCCCTTCCCCTGTCCTTCCCTATGTATCTCTTCATCTGTGTCCTTTGCAATATCCTGTAAAATAAACCAGCAAATTTGTTTTCTTGAGTTTTATGAGCCACTCCAGCAAATCAGTTGAACCCAAAGAGGGATTATAGGAAACTCAACTTGAAGCCATTTGGTCAGAAGTTCTGGAGGCCTGGATTTGCCAGTGATATCTGATAGGAGGAGAGTCTTACGGATTGAGCCCATACCCTGTGGGAGCTGATACTATCTCCAGGCGGATAATGTTGGAATTGAATTGTAGGACATTCAGCTGGTGTTTGCAGCTTAGTCACAAAAGTCTTATTCTGCATTGATGATTGTTGTGGTAGTGTGAGAGTAGAGGAACAACCCTGTTTGGGAGTTTTTCTGCAGCACTTTCCCTTGCCCAAAGTCCTCAAAAGGAGTCCATGACCTTAGTACACAGGGAGGTTATAGCAGTTTACCTAGTAGGGAGCAAAGAGAACCCATGTCCTCTCAGTAGCACTGTGGATGTGCTACAGTACCCAAGCTGAAGGGAAATGGTATCTATTTATAAGGCTATGAACAATATTTTCAAAAAGAAAATACTCTATCAGGCATTGGTATCATATCAGGTAATACCATACATCCAAGCCCAAAAAGGGAGAGGAAGGATTTCAGGGGGTGGGAAAAGGAGATAGGCCTGTGGCACAGCCAGATGGAGACACAGATAAGTTTCAGATTATTCTGGCAGAGACCTCTAGGCTCCTGACATGTAACAGGTCTCATTCCTGATAGAGGGGGGATGTAGCTGGCTCCCTAGTGCTAAAGCATCTTAGCTTTGCAGTCAGAAAAACCTGGGTTTAAATCCAGCTCTAACAACCTTGCAAGCAAGCTACTTAATTTCATCTGTAAAGGCTTCATCAGAAGATGTTCTTGAGGCTAAATGAAGTAACATGCCTTTGTACTTTTTATTAAAGCACTATTACTATATTCTTATTAAGTACATATGTGTTCAAGTGTATTGTTAAGATATCTGTCTCCCCAGCTTGTAGACAGAGCCTTGTCTCATCAACAACAAGCACAAAGCTCCAAAAGTGTGTTGTATGGAATTGTGTGTTGATTTCTAGTTGTTTCATGTTTGTAAATCTTTTTTTAACTGAAATCTGAGTGCCTTAAGGGTAGGGACGTAACCCCCAATATAATCATTTATCACAGAACTAGGCACACACCTACTGGAGCTTAGGGAGAAGGCTGTGCCTGATTTGAAAAGGTGTTCAAGTTGTGCTTCTCCCTTGCAGGGATTTCCCAGATGACCCAGGAGTGCAGTGGGACACAGGGCATGTGGCCAGCATACTCCTCCAGCACATAGAAGCAAATGGCATCAACCTGGTAAGAGAATGTCTCCCTGAACGGAAAGCCTGAGGACCCCATTCCCAGTCACACCAGTTGGTTTCTGCAACTTTTCCTGTGGCCACCTTCCAACTTCCAGGGCAGACTATAAAGAGGTCAAAACTTCCAATGAACTCTGCTAAACCTACTGAGGAACAAACAAGCCTTTTGATATCTTTTAGACCTTTTGTGAGACTGAATTGTCAGTGCTCAGGTAGAGGCAGAGGTTTTATCCAAACTATGTCTTCCTTAACCACCCCCAAGCCCCTGTCTTGACAACTAAAAACTCTGGTCCCCAGGAGCCTTCACTGTACTCTCATTTGTATAGAACTTCACCGTTTACCAAGCATTTTTAATTTAGAGTTTCATTTTAACTTTAGATACTTCTCATTTTACACTGAGGAAATTGAGGTTTCCCAGAGACCAAGCAGTTTGCCCAAGGTAGAAAACTGGTGAAGCTAGAACTTCAAGCCTCAATTTCTTCGCTCTAAAAAAATGAGAATTAATTCATACCCACTACAGGAAGAAAAATTTAGTTGCAATTAGAGCAGTAGTGGAAATTCACGTTTACTTGCAAAGGTGGACAAGCCTAGCAACACCGATCTTACTTCTCAGCAGAACTAGACTTAGCCCATGGTCAATTTTTTTTTTTTTGAGTGGGAGTCTCACT